TCTTCTTCTTCTTCTTCTTCTTCTTCTTCTTCTTCTTCTTCTTCTTCAAGCAAACTAGCATGACCCCCAAGTACCACAAATTCTGAAGCTCAGCTTCCTGAGTTCAAATCCTGATTTTGCCACACAGTAGCTGGGTGATGTGAACAAGTCACCTCATCAGGAAAATGGAGATAAAAGCATGCGAGAACCAAATAAATACTTTGAGGCCGCCTGAAACAACAGATGACACACGGGAATGCTCAGGGCATGACATTATTATTACATCTGCTCTTATCTTGCTTCCTATCTCTCCTGAGTGCCCACAGTGTTCCTCCCTACCCAAGGTGCTCCTCCCAAAACCAGGGGTGTGAGAGCATCCTTAGCATATTGATGTGGGCCTTCAGGATCTACAGCCTCAGCCCCCCGCTTGCTTCTATGACATCACAGAAACCCTCCATGATGTCACAAGCCTTTATCCCCGGGGCTGAGCATCATCAGTTGGAAGCAGGATGGAGAATGAATCTACATAAATCCAGTCCGTTTCATCAATTTCTACTTGCATGTTCCTGATCAATGTCTCCCCACCCCCAGGGACCCAAGTGGATGACCAGCTCGGGCGACAACCCACTGCCCACTTCCTAGGAGCCAGCAGGAGCTGGCACTGTGGCTGTTTAAGTCCCAGAGGCTTTTCTGATGCTCCTTCAGAGCAGTGGGGCCCTCCGTGGGTGGTCCTAAAACCGAGATCCAAAATGGAGTTGGCCACTAGTGACACTGGTCCTCTCTCCCACCCCCCTCCCTCATCTCTCATCCCTACCCAGGCTTGCTTGGACCCTCCCCACCTCTAGTCTTTCTGATGAGCTGGGTACAAACAGGGAGGGAGGTACCACAGAGGGCAGAGGCCTGGAAGGGAGGGGCCTTTGGGATTATAAATTCCGAAAAGGCTGCTCAGCTCTCAGAACTGGATCCCCGAGAATCCACTGACAGCTTCTGGGGCTGTGGACATTCTCAGCACCTTCACCATGAAACACCTGCTGCTGGTCACCCTGACTGCCCTGTTCTGCTGCTGGGTCTCAGGTGAGTGCCAGGGGCCCCGGGCCCCACCCCAACCCTACCCAATACTCCATATTTCTCTCTACTCAGGATTTCAAGAAGTCCCAACCCTACCTGGCTTAGTCTCCCCAATGCCTCTAGGATCAGATGTCTGAGAAGGATGGGCTCCTTTGCTCTATTTTCTTTTCCTTTCTTTCCTCCTTTGCCTCCCTCCATTTCTTGTTTCTCTTTTGTCAGAGTCGTGTGTTGTTGGATCCCACTTAGCAGCAGGAACTCCATTTGTTCCTAGTCTACCACTCTGCCCTGGGTTGCTACCCACAATTTCCTGAGACTGAGCTGCAGCCCCCAGTCCCCTTATGCAGATGTCTAGAATAAGACTATACCACCTCCTTCTGACTGGTGGGCCCAGAACCAGCCACCAGACCTCAGAACTCCCTAATAGGCTAATAGGCTGAAAACCGTCCCACTGTGACCAGTCCCCAACTGCTTCTCCACGTCTCCCCCCGCCCCCCCCCCCGTTACATTCTGATTGGATGGGACGGTCTCTGTGCTTTTCTCCCTTTGAAACTGACTGCTGCTCCTGGCTCAGGGTTGCGGTCTGGATTTTGAAACCTGGAGCTTCTCTGATGTAGCAGGGTTTTGTTTTGCTTTTGTTTTTTCATTTTTAACTTTTGGCTTGCTGTCTTTGTGGCGGATTGTTCTCGGACCCTAACATTGTAGCCAAAGCTGGCTTTGATGCTCTGATCTTCCCACCCCTACCTCCTAAATAAATGCTGGGTTCACACAAATGTCACAGCTGGCCCTTGATCCGTTATTAAGGAGCCAGATCTGCATTGCCATCTTCTCCTAGCCCCATATTCTCCTGATTCACTCTTCCTACCTGCCATGGCACTGGGTCTCTTATTTCCCACTCCAGTGCACCCCCTTCCTGGACACTCTCTCTGGCCAGCCCTATTCCAACACGTAGATCCCCAGGATCCAGGATGCCAGCCTTCACTCCCCTTCTGCACTGAGCAGTATTCTTATAGAAACCCCAAGATCCCACCCCACGCCTCACTGAGGGGCGCGACTGGCTCCTCTTAGCTTGTTCCTTCCTGCCTTACATTCCTGTATCCCCACCAGAGATGCAAAACCTTCTGGGTGGTTCCAATGACGGCATACAGCCTTCTCAAGAATCAGAAACGCTCCCTGAGCTTTCTAGAGAGAAGATGCCAGAACACTTACCCCTAAAGTGAGATGGGTTTCCTGGAGGCATACTAGGCTCCTCCATCCGAGCTGACCATTCCTTCATGGAACTTTGCATGCTCAAACCTGAAGTTGGCCAACAACACAGGAACCCGGACAAGCCACCCTCTGCACCCACTCTCCGTCTTTGTCAGGTGATAAGACAATCCAGTGATGCCTCGCAGATACCATCCCTTCTTCCATAGCACGACAGCCAGAACAGTCGTAGATAGGATTCACTCAGGACTGATGCGCCCCAAGATCTTGGCAGAGGTCCAGTCACTCTAAAGCTGGTCACAGGTGGCTTTCTTACAGCCTCAGTTCCATGCCACCTCTGAAGGCACTGCTGACTCCCACCCTTTGCAATTTCTTCTTTCGATCTCAAGTCCCATCCCCTAACCTCTACTCAGTTGCCAAACTTTCCCCGTATCCCAGGCATCCCCAGTCCCGAGTTTTTGTTAGTACAACTCTTGACTCATCCCAAACAGGCTGGGTGGAGGAAGGTATTTAGGGTGTGTGGTTTCCACACAGAGAACAAACGCCTCCTCACAACGCCCACTTGGCCCTCACCTGCTCTGTCCCTGTGAACAATGCAGGTCAGAGACACCGGCTGCTCAGAGGGCAGTCCTCCACCCTCACCCCTAACTCAACCCCAGGTGAGGTGGCTGAGACAGCCCTGTCACCTCAGCCTGACTTCTTATCTCCCCAGCTGACACCAGATGTCACTCTTGCTACAAGGTCCCCGTGCTGGGCTGTGTGGATCGCCAGTCCTGTCGTCTGGAGCCAGGCCACAAATGCCTGACAACAAACGTGTACCTTGGTAACGTCGCCTTTCCCGGGAGAGAGGGACCAAGGGGGAGACGCAAGCTGGGACTGAAGCCCATGCAGGGCTAGGACGGGGAGTTAACAGCAGGGCCAGCATGTGGCCAAGGAAGATTATGTGCCAGGCGCTGACCGGTGTCTACAGACACTGTGTTTGTGAACGCTTGTGACAACCCCATGACATGGGTGCGGGTGCTGGAGGCAGGGTTGTGGCTCACACTCAGGATGAGTAGAATGAAGAGAGAAAAGAAGGGTAAGAAGGGTGGAGCCAAGCAGCTTTGGGAGGAAGAGGAGCCCGTGGACACAGGCCAGCCAGTTCCTACTTCTGACGCCATCTCTGTTGGCTCCCACCTCTAGGAAAGATGTGGGTTTTCTCTAACCTGCGCTGTGGCACACCGGAGGAGCCCTGTCGAGAGGCTTTCAACCAAACCAACCACAAGCTCGGCCTGAACTACAACACCACCTGCTGTGACCAGGACAACTGCAACAGCCCAGCTCCAAGGCCCACACCTGCGCTGGCTCTGGTCTCCCTCACCTCCTTGGCCGGCCTTGGCCTCTGGCTATTGCACTGAGAGTCACTCCACGGCTGCATGCTTCCCATCTCTTAGCTTGAGTCTTTCTCCCTGTGCCCTGAGAACTCCAGCTCTCCAGAATGCTCTCCCTCACCCCTGGCTCCTTTCTTCTGAAGATCATTCCCCTGTTGTCCCATTTATTTCATGGGACCGTGCCTAGAGTGGTCTTTCCAGCCACCCTTCTCAGCTGGCACCCTCCATTTTATACCAAGTCCTTCCCCATTTCCTTGGAGACCTCTCTGTCTCCTTCACTGGCCACTGAAAGGACCCCTACCTGAATGCACACTGGTGTGACCCTGGGATGAGCTCCGGAAGTGCTACCGTCTTGTCTCCAGTGAGTGATCCCAAAGGACCCGCTAACCTCAATGCATGGGGTTGATTCATTCAAACCTCTGCTCATCTCGTTCCATCTTGAGAAATAAATGTGGGTGTCTGGTAAACTGCATGTTTATTGTCAGGAGATATACAGGCTAATGGGGCGTGGTGGTTTTCCTTTGTGGTCTCAACAACTGCGCAATAGAGGCAGAAAAATCGGGAGTTCATGACCGTCCTTGGTTAAATAGCAAGTTCATGGCCAGTATGAGCTGCTTTGATCCTGTCTCGAAAAGCAAGAGGCAAGCATGGCTGTATACCCTTTTAATCCCAGCACTTGAGAGGCGAAGATCTCTGAGTCTGAGGCCTGTCTGACCACTACATAGCAAGTTCCAAGCCAGCCAGGATAACAAGGAGAGAGAGAGAGAGAGAGAGAGTTGTGGTGGTGGTATAGGACCCCTCTCCCTGGAAATTTCACTCCCAGCCCCACCCTTCTCCTTGCCTAAACGTTCTCCAGGGAGTTTCCCCACAAGGCCGGACTGGACTGACCAAACAGAAGAGCAGGTTTTTCAAGCCTTCCTCCTTTCCGGTACCCAAGGGCGACACACTGGTGCTAGTGTTTGGAGAAACAACCCTTATCCTAAATTTAGACTACACCCTGCCAAGAAGCAGGTGCAGCCTAGCTTGAGGGCGCCCCAGAAAGGGCAGGAAAGGTGTTTACAGACAGAGAACTGGCTCTTGCTCCCTTCTAACTGGGTTATTCAGGGGCTTTCCTTTCTCAGGTCAAACAGTCCTGCTGGGAGCCGCGTGGCGAAGGACAGAAGGGAAAGCAACCTGGACAGCCTGTCATGGCGTCCTGGTAACCCTCCACTCAACCCAGGGCCCTTCCCCTCTGTGACTCCCACGGTGAAGGAAGAGTCTCCCTGGCCTGGTGGCAGGTGCCAGGAGTCTCTGAGGACAGATGCTCTATTCTTTTGAAGGGTGTCATTGAATAGGGACTGCTGATGGGTCCACTGATGGATGTTAACGGGAACACTCAAAATCAGCTAACCCACGTACTATCCCTTCAGCCTATTCAACAGAAGATATGTAGATGCTGGGAGCAGTGGTGCATGCCTTTAATCCCAGCACTCGGGAGGCACAGGCAGGCGGATCTCTGAGTTCGAGGCCAGCCTGGTCTACAGAATGAGTTCCAGGATAGTCAGGGCTGCGTAAAGAAACCTTGTCATCAAAACAAACAAACAAACAAACAAAGGATAGAATTTACTAGTCCTCTCTAGAATAGTCCATGCATTTTAAAGGCGCACAAAGAGTTGCTTATCTTCTCACTTTAGACGTTCAACCCTCTCAGTCCCGTCCTTAATCTCAATCCCACTATCAGCTCTACAGTCCTGGCAAGAGCCAGACCAGGGTGGTGACAGCTGCAGCCAGGATGCAGAGAGGGGTCACGGAGCTTGCCATGGCGCCATTGCACAGGTCTCCGAAGCAGCAGTTTTTGTGGGTTGTGAAGGTCACGCCGCCCACTGACTCTATGTCCACTTGATTGCAATGGTGGGTGGCCACACAGGCTGGGTGGTGCTGACTCAAAACCATGGAGGCTGCGAGAAAGAACGACACTGGGGCGTTAACTCCTGACTGCAGGACGTGCCTTCCATGGGAGAGCAGATGCAATTTCCAGGGACTTAAAGGGATGCTCTGTCCCTTCAGAAAACAGCTGTCTCAAACCAGGGCGTTGGGGCCAACAGGCCCACCTAGGACAGTAATGCTATGGTGCTCCAAGAACCCAGGCACATCCCTGCCTCAGCCTCAACATGGGAAAATTGCTGCTAAATACAAAAGGGACAATCTGTAAAAAGACGCATCTTTGTAAATGAAGCGAATACGATCAGCCGGGCATAGGGGTGCATGCCTGTAACACAGGAGGCTGAGGCAGGAGGATTGCCAGGAGTTCAAGGCCAACACATTGAGTTGAGATATTGAAGGCTATAAATTGAGACCCTGACCCAACAAAAGAGCAAACACAGCTGGGAATGTAGCTCACTTAGTAAAATGCTTGCCTAGGGTACAAAAATTCTGGATTTGATCTGTGGTACCAACATAAACAGGAATGGGTGACAGTCGCTACGTACAGAAAGAAGGATCAGAAGTTCAAGGTCATCCTTGGATTCATAACAAGTTCAAGGCCACCCTGGGATGTAAAAGATTGTGTCCTAAAAATTATTTTTTTAATATTTATTTATTTATTATGTATACAGTATTCTATCTGTGTGTATGCCTGCAGGCCAAAAGAGGGCATCAGACCTCATTACAGATGGTTGTGAGCCACCATGTGGTTGCTGGGAATTGAACTCAGGATCTTTGGAAGAGCAGGCAATGCTCTTAACCACTGAGCTATCCCTCCAGCCCCCCTAAAAATAATTTTAAAATAGAGAGCTGGAGAGACAGCCCAGTGACTGAGAGCGTTGTCACCCTTGCAGAAGACCTGAGTTCTCACATCAGGCTCACAAGCACCTGTACCTCCAACTTCAGAGAAGCGGACACACTCTTCTGGCCTCTGAGAATGCCCACACGCATGTGATACATGCTCAGACAGACATACTCATACATAAAATAAATCTTTTAATAATAATAAATTGGGGCTGGGGGAATGGCTCAGTGGTTAGGGACAATGGCTGCTCTTCTAGAGGAATCTATTCAGCTCCCAGTACCCAGTGTGGCTCATAATCACCTATAATTCCAGTTTCAGAGAATTTCATCCCCTCTTCCATCCTCTAAAGGCATGAGGTACATGCAGAAAAATAATCATGCTCGTAAAATAAAATTTAAAATCTAAAAAAAAAAATCATTGTAAGTAAGGCATGGTGACTCATACTTGCCTTTAACCCCAGCACTTGGGAAGTAGAAGCAGGCAGATATTTGTGAGTTTGTCTAGCAAAGTCTATGTAGTGAGTTCCAGGCCAGCTGAGACTACACAGGTTCTGTCTCCAACCAACCAAGCAAGCAACCAACAAAGCAACCAACCCCCAACCAACCAACCAACCCCCAACCAATCAAACAACCAACTAACCAACAAAGCAACCAACCAACCAACCAGCCAACCAGCCAAGCAATCAACCAACCAGCCGAGCAATCAACCAACCAGCCAACCAACCAACCAACCAACCAGCCAGCCAGCCAGCCAGCCAGCCAGCCAGCAAGCAACCAACCAACTAAGAAAAAATACAAACCAAACAAACAAAACAACTACTTTAAAATAAATAAAAAGTCAATGGGGTAGTCTGTTTGAGCTTGGCTCACTGAATCTAAGCCTAGGTTAATTAGTATCTTGCTGTTGTTTTCTGACTTTGGTAATGACATCGAATGCGAGCATTTGAAGAAACTGGGTGGAAACAGGAGCTCTGCATTTCTTTTGTAATTTTCTGTTAAACCAAATGATTTCAAAATATTATGCAGGCACGCACTCACGCACTCACGCACTCATGTACGCACGCACTCACTCATGTATGCCCCTCTCCAGCTCTTAGCCAGTCCCTGACAAAGTTCGGAGTTTGGCTTAACATTTTGACTCTGGTCTTGGGAGACAGTTTCTTCCCTCGTAAGGACCTATGAGGTTCTTCATGGAGAGTACGGGGCAAGCCAAAGGCAGATGGGCTGCTCAAGGCACAGTGCCGGGAGCCAGTAGGGTTAGACTGCCCTGCCACAACAGAGGCACCATCTGCCCAGAGCCAGACCGAATTTGGAACGGTAGTAGCCCGCAGGGCTGAAGAGGGGGCTGGTTGGAAGCAGCAGGAAGTCGAGACAGGGGTGGAGGGTGGGGGGCGAGGGGGGTGAGTTAGAAAGGACTCACGTTGCTTGACTTGTCCAGGGTTGGGTTGGGGTTTGCGGTCCAGGAAGCCGCAGCGCTCACCCTCACCACAGGTGATCACGGTCTGCTTGCAGGAGTTGCTGGGGCCTCCACTGCAGTCATAGCACCGTGTGCGGTGTCCTGGCAGGAAAGAAGAGGTACGTGACCCGGTCCTTAGAGGAGCCCTGGCAGAGAGAAGGACAGGCCTGTGCCAGGGGCTTACAGGCTTCTTCCTTACCCAAGGCAACGCCTAGCACGGTGCAGAGTAGGATTCCGACCAACTGGGGGTTCATCATGTCTGCTTATGCCAGTAGCGCCTCTCCCTCCCGCCCACCCCCCCTCGGGCTCTACTCTGCCTGTCTTATATCCCCCTTGCCTTGAACTTTATAGGGCAATAAAAAGCGAGGAAAGAGTCTCCCCCAGCAGACACCAGGGCCCCAATGGGGACAGGGAGGAGCCCCACGGGTGACTCTGAGCGTCTTCTGAAGCCCCAAAGGCTTCCTTTCTCAGCAGCAAATCCAGCAGAAGACTCTCCCCACAAAGGGGGGTCCCTAAGGCCCTTTCATACCCTGCCCAAGGGTCTTCCCCTTTCAGTGCTGTATCTGAGGGTTTGGTTTTGTTCATCCACGTTCCAGATGCGTTGCAGAAGTAGGTTATGAAAACCCAGCCACCTTTGATTATAACCAGCGCTAAATGGATTCTCAAAAATGTAAAACAATGTCGTTCTCTCTGTGCAGTTGCAGGCTAATTATTGTTTTTCACAAAACTATGCCCTCCTAACATATAATACGCTTGTTTTTATTTGTTAAATGAATCAAACTATACCTGACTCTTTATGTAGTTAGCTGGTTGCTGTTGTTTTTGGGACAGGGCTGGCTTTGAACTTCTGGTCCTCCTGCCTCAGCGTCTCAAGTGCTGGGATCACAGGCATGAATCACTATGCCTGGCTTCAATACCAATTTTAAATGCCATATTTATTTTATTGTCTTAAGTTATATATATTTACTCTGCGTGTGTGTGTGTGTGTGTGTGTGTGTGTGTGTGTGTGTGTGTATTTGCTTGTGGAGGCAGATTCTTACACATAACCCAGGCTAACCTGAAGCTCAGCATGTAGTCGAGGCTAGCCTCAAACTTGAGGCAATCCTCTTGTGTCAACTTCAGGTGTGCTGGGATCACGGGCATGTGCTATCACTTCTGGCTTCTTGTTTTAATTCTTTTTTATTATTTTTTTTTAATGATTTATTTTGTGTGAATGAATGCTTTGCCCACATGTAGACATGGGCCCCCGTGCATGCCTGGTGCCAGTGGAGACCAGAAGAGGGCATCAAATCCCTGGACCTGGAGCCACCATGTGGGTGTTGGGACTAGAACCTGGGTCCTCTGCGAGAGCAGCAAATGCTCTAAACTGTTGAGCCATCTCTCCAGCCTTCTTTACTTCCTTAACAAAAATGTATTCAGGGCTGGAGAGATCACTCAGTGATGTCTGCTGTCTTTCAGAGTGACTTCTTGTCCCCGTGCCCACAAGGAACAGCAGTAACCATAGCTTCAGGGGGCCCAGTGCCCTCTCTGGCCTGTGGGCTCCTGCCCTTGCCTGCATAGATCCATACACAGACACATGCACACACACAAACATTGGCCTGCATAGATCCATACACAGACACACACACACATACATTGGCCTGCATATATCCATACACAGACACATGCACACATACATTGGCCTGCATATATCCATACACAGACACATGCACACATACATTGGCCTGTATATATCCATACACAGACACATGCACACATACATTGGCCTGCATAGATCCATACACAGACACATGCACACATACATTGGCCTGCATAGATCCATACACAGACACATGCACACATACATTGGCCTGTATATAAGCATACACAGACACATGCACACATACATTGGCCTGCATAGATCCATACACAGACACATGCACACATACATTGGCCTGCATAGATCCATACACAGACACATGCACACATACATTGGCCTGTATATATGCATACACAGACACATGCACACATACATTGGCCTGCATAGATCCATACACAGACACATACACACATACATTGTCAAATACAGCCAGATGTAGTGCAGGCCCAGAGACAGATGGACCTGTGTGAGTTTAAGGCCAATCTGGTTTAAAAATCAAGTTTCAGACCAGTCAAAAAACAAAAATAGAAAAAGTAAGTTAAGAGGGGCTGGAGAGATGGCTCAGTGGTTAAGAGCACTGGCTGTTCTTCCAGAAGACCCAGGTTCAATTCCCAGCACCCACATGACAGCTAACAACTGTCTGTAACTCCAGTTTCTGGAGATGTGATACCTTCACACCAATGCACATAAAATAAAGTTAAATAAATTATTAAAAAAAGAAAAAGTAAGTTAATTAAATTTATTATTTGTGTGTTCCTCTGAGCGCAGGTTTGTGTGCTTGGTCTTCTCTCTCCACCTTCATGTGGTTCCAGGGCTTGCACCCCGTCCTAGGCTCACACACAAACACTCCTGCCTCCTGAACTAGCTCGCCGGCCTACTGTAATTTCTGATAAGGTAAATATTGGTAAAATTCATGTGAGGGAAAGATCTCTGAGGCCTTCGGTCCTTTCCAGGGTATAAAGAGGTGCGGAGATGTCTACCACCCTCTTCCTCACCACAGCCCTGGGGTGAAGGGTTTCTTTTGTTGGTACAGGAATTGGAATCCAGGGCTGCCCAGTGGCACAAGCCCTCCAAGGCTGCAGGTACTACAACCTCTGTCCCTACCCAGTTTCCCTATGGCTCCTTACTGCCATTCTCCCAGACTGGAAACCTAGCCCATCTTCTTTTTCTCAGAGGAAGGATGTACATCCTTCTAGCCCAGCTCCTGATTAATTCTTTTCTGCAAGGTAGTAAAGTCAGGAGGACTAATTATGGGGTAGCAATGTCGGAGCTTGGGGGAGGGTGAATCAAAGGGATGTGAGCGAGGTGAGGCAGGGCCCCTCGCAGCTGGGCTTTGTGGGTGGGGTGGGGTGTGGGAAGGGGTGGGTGGGCTTTGTTGATACCACACTCAAACAGGACTCTAACATCTAGGGCAGGAGAGGGCTCAGAGTGTGACCTTGGGAGGCCTACAGGCTCTGAGGGGATAGACAGAAAAACAGAACCGGGAACAGCTTGAGCTGGAGGGAGGGAGGGGGACAGGAGGGAAGGCGACAGACACAACTCTAGGCAGGCAGACAGCTAGGCTGAGTTAGCAAACACTGAGAAAACTGGAGCCCCTCGAGGCAAGCATGGGCAGGGCTGAGACGGTGAGAGACCCGGGGGTAGGAAGGGAGCGTTGCTGCATCCACACCCCAGATTCTCTCACTAGGTGTATTTGTTTCCAGATTCTTTCCCATCTTTGGCCAGGTGTGTTCTGTCAGGGGCGCAGATCATATTCTCCCAGACTGCTGAGCCAGTCCTGCCATGGGTCCCTCCAGCGGCGCCTTCCTCAGCATCCTGTTCTTCTCTGGGGCACTGGGTAAGGGTGGACTGGGGAATTCTCAAGGGCAGAGGGCTGGGACAGGGGCTTGTGCCAGGGCTGGAATGGAGGATGGAGAGGGAGCTGACAGAGGTGAAGAGAAGTAGGGCGTGATTAGGACACCAGAAGGCTGAGGCCAGAGGAGCTGGACGCCCAGGCCAGCATGGGCTGTGTCAAACTCTGTCTCCAAAGGCCAGGGGGAGGGGGAGCATTTGAGAGTAACTATCACTTCTGGCTACACCTTGGAATCTTTGGCCCATCTGTATTCCTCCCTTTATCTCTCACTTAGCTTTCGCCTTTCCCCTTCCTGCTCACGGGTCTGGCTCTTGGCATCACTCTGTGGGTTTGCTTCTCTTGGCCTCCGTCCCTGTCTGTCTGACCTGACTACTGTGACCCTCTTTCTTCCGCCTGGCTCTTTGCTGCGTGCTCTCTTCTCCCTTTGCTATTTTATATTCCTGTCTTCTCTTATTTTATGGCTCTCCTCTCCCCGCTTCTGTGTGTCAGAGGTCTGCCTTTGCCTCTTACCTTCTCCCCAAAACTGACCTCTGCTGACCCAACAGGTCTCACCACTTCCCCAGCCCGAGGACGACTCCAGTGTTACACCTGCAGCTTTGCCAAGCCCTGCGACCCGGTTCTCACAGAGTGCCAGGAGGATGAGGTGTGTGGCATCAGTGTTGGCACCTCAGGTAGAACTCTGGTCCAATGGCCCTTCTCGGGGTGGCTCCTCGCCTCTGTCTTTCCTGCCCCCAGCCTCAGCGTTCCTCCTTTGTCCCATAGATCATGAGGATGAGGTCATCGAGCGGAAAGGCTGTCTCCCTAGGACCCAGTGCCCTCTGCTGGGCCGTGCCACCTACTGGTCACAGCCCTACGCTCTCCGCCACAAGTGCTGTGAGCAGGACCTGTGCAACACGGCAGCCTCGCAGCCACTCCCAAGCCGCCCCCTCGCCACCCTCTTGTTCCTTGCTGCCATCTTTGCCTGGGGAGCACATATCTTCATTTAGCCTGTGAGTTCACAACTGTCAACCCAGCACTCCGATGTCATCGTGGACCTGGGGACCCCTGTACAGATGTTTCTGAGACACACTCAAGAGTGTGGCTTTGTATAAAAAACCCAACATGGACCCCTCTTAAGACCCGATTTCTGTAGCTGGAGTTCCCATCCCAGCATGCATGTGTTCGGGGCCTCACCTCATAAGAAACCCCTGCTGTCTTTTCTCTACGTGGCCCGGGTCAGCTACCCTCAAGGAGCTGTGGGTCCCAGGCAAAGGGACAGAAGTGGTGAGGGGTGGAGCTCTGTTAGGAAAGATGTAACTTGGAATGGAAGGCTACCTGGGGTAACTATGAAGAGAATATTTAACAAAAGGGCTATTGATTGGGTAAAGATGTAGTTCAATGATAGAATGCCTGCCTACCATACATGAGGACCTGGGTTCACCCCCCTGCACCACCAAGATAGATAGATAGATAGATAGATAGATAGATAGATCCCTGTACCACTAAGATAGATAGATACATACATAGATAGATAAATAGATGGATGGGTGGATGATAGATAGATAGATAGATAGATAGATAGATAGATAGATCCCTGTACCACTAAGATAGATAGATACATAGATAGATAGATAAATAGATGGATGGGTGGATGATAGATAGATAGATAGATAGATAGATAGATAGATAGATAGATAGATCCATGCACCACAAAATAGATGGATAGATAGGTAGATAGGTAGAACAAATAGATAGATAGAGACATAAACAAATAATATGTAAGAATAGTAATAGAGCTGTTTGTGAGTCTGATAATGAATGCTCTGTCGGGGTGCTGATGAAACACATAAAGGTTCCCTTTAAGGAGGAACTCCACAGGGCAGAGTAGCTGTCTCCTGGAAGGCCAGCACATGTATAGGCATAAGAACCGGGTTTTGGATGCCAGCACCCACTTAAAAAGCCGGTCTTAGGGATGGAGAAATCACTCGATTAAGAGCACAGGCTGCTCTTACAGGAGACCTGAGGTTCAATTCCCAGCATCAGCATGGATGATTCACTACCATCTGCAATTCCAGTCCCGGGAAATCCCACCCTCCTTTCTGGCCTCCTCGGGCACTGCACACCATGTGGTGCACAGACATACATGCAGGCGAAACACCAGTGCAGATAACACTTTTTAAAATTAAAATAAAACGCCAGGTATAGCCACACATGAGTGCTTGTAACCCCAGTGCCAACGAGGGGGCAGAGATGGGAGGATCTGTGGGGCTCTCTGCCCGTCAGCCTAGCTCCGAGTTTACTGAGAGACCCTGCTTCCAAGGAGTAAGATGGAGAGGAGAGAACAGGACATCTGAGGTCTTCCATGCACGCACCGGTGTGTTTGCACGGGGGCCCATATGTCTTCAACACTCACACACACAAGAATGAGCTGTGGCTGCCTGTGGGTTGGGCTGGCACATTGGAACCTGAATGGTGCCCCGCACCCACTTTCCATCTGGGTGGCTGTTCCTGCCAACGTCTGAGCCTAAGCCGCGGCAGCGTGCAGGCCGCAGGTGAGAAGTCCAGGAAAGCCAAGCTTGAGACCAGAGTCGAAAGGGCGCCTGGGAAAGTTGCCTGTGTGGGCGTGGCCTCGTTTCTGAATGCCGAGTGACTGCTTTGCAGCACTGATGCCCCGTTTTACCTCACCAACCCAGAACTCTTCTCTGTTCAGGAAGATTGGAAGCACTAGCTCCCTTCGGGAACTATCCGCCAGTCCTTACATATGCTTCCTCTGCCCAGGGAGATAGTGTGCGACCCCTGGGTGTCTCTCCCCTGGGGCAGAGCTCCCAGGGAACCGGAAGTGATAAGCTTCCCTGCAGATAGAGACCCACAGAGGAGCCTGTGTGCCTGGGATAAGGAGAGGTCTGGGGCTGAGGACCGGCATCCCCCTGTGGGCCTGCTGCCCTCCTGCTCCGTCTGAGGAAGTGTGGGGTCTGATTAAAGGTCTTGTTCCCTCTCAGCTTCTCTTTGCGAGAACAACATGGGGAGGGAGTCTGGTTTACTTAGGACGCCTGTTGACTCTTTCGTTTTCCTTGTCCCCCGAATTTCCCATTTGGGACTCCGGTTTCCCCACTCTGCATCTGAGCCTCTCAACTTCTCTCTTCCTTCCTCCCCTATACACTCTTTTCCTCACAGTTTCTCCTATGGCAGATGCCCCAGCTCTTCTCAAGTCCCTGGGCTTCCCCGGTCCCTCTTGCCCTTAACAGAGACTTCAGACCCCATAATAAGTCTTACTATGGGTCACTCAACTACAGACAGGAGACCACGCCTTTTTGTTGGTGACATCACAGAATGCTGTTGCTCCCTTCCTTATGTTCCTGGCCCCTCCAGCTTGGTGGCTGTTGGAAGCCAAGAGGAAGTAGAGTCATGCCCTCAGCCCCACCCCCTTGCCAAGGTTTTCAGGAAGTCCTTCAGGTGCCAGATGCCAGAGACACAGGGCAGCGGGTCAGGCTTTCCGAGGTAGATGTCACCAAGATCACCTGGTCTTGTGGGTGGGTGGGCTGTAGAGTTTACAAAGCAAAAAGCCATGTTAAAGCTACTGCACCTCCTCAGGAACCAGGACCCCCGTCTGCAATCCAACCCTAGCTCCAGGCGGGCAACAATTTCCCACGCTCAGGCCCTCTGGGATGTAAACCTCCACCCCACCCCACCCCTGCCCAGTTGTTCCTTACCTAAGGTGGGCCAAATGGATGTTCTCATAGACCTGGACTTCAGGTTTGAAGCGAGGAACTGAGGGTTCTGGGGAAAAGCAGAAGTCAGCAGATAATTCAGGGATGTGTCCCTTGCTAACCCTCGAGCAGACAGAGGCCAGAGTCTGGATGTGAGCCCAACCTCTCTCACACCTGATGACATCTCTGGGGATAACTCACCTCTGTCCCGAGATGCCTGGCCCCTTCGCTTCCAGAGCACGATGCTGAGGGCGATGATGGCGACTCCTTGGCCTGCTATGAGCAGCAGCATCGGTAACCAGGGCACGTCCCAGCTCGGGACAGAGGCACAGGCCATGGGAGTAGGCTCCGCAGAAGCTGCCATGACAGCAAGACAAGAATGACAGGCACTGGGGGGTCTGTCACTGCCTCAGGAAGGAAGCAGATTCATTCTGTGGTGTCACTTACAGAAAGGTCTGGTCTCCTGCCTTGGGCTGTCAGGAGCGGCAGCCCTGAGTAAGACATGGCTTCCCCCACAGTCTAGTGGGATTTCCCTGCAGAAAATACTCAGGAGCCCCCTGCCTGCAGCATCCACCACCCTGCGACTTTGCTTATGGACCCCAGGAACCAACATCAGAGAGTAGCAGTGAGGGGTCGCTCCCCGTCACACAGAGACAGCTGATCCCAGGCACATCCCAGCCATAACCTCCCTCACAATAATTCACATTTTCAAAAAAAAGTTAAGTGTTTCAGCTGTGTACCACGATGCAAGCCTGCAATACCGGCACCTGGGAGGTGGCGGTGAGAGGTACGGAATTGAGGTTATCATCGACTGAGAGCTGGAGGCCTGCCTGGGCTGTAGGAAAGCCTGTCTCAAAGCAGAAGAAACGGGGAGAAGTTCAAGGCCTACCTGGTCTATAGAGTGAATTTCAGGCCAACCAAGTCTACAAGGAGAGATACTACCATTAAAAAAAAAAAAAAAAAACCAAAAAAGACAGGGGCTGCAGAGACGGCTCAGTGCTTAGCATGGTTGCCTCACAGGTGTAAGGACTGGAGTTCGAATCCCCAGAACCCGTGTGAATACTGGTTGGGCATGATAGCCCACTTGTAATTCCGGCTTCTGAAGGCAGAGACGGGGTCCCCGAAGCAAGCGGGTTGGTGAGACTGCCCTTATCATTCAGTCTGGCTTTGATTGAGAGACACTGCTTCGTTGAATAAGACATAAGAGCAATGGATTCCAGACGTCAACCTCAGGCCTCCACATGCCCGCACAGCCA